AAAAAAAAAAAAAAAAGACTAGAGCAGAATCCCAAGAAAGTGTGTGGAAGCAGAAGGTTAGCAACGACCGGTAAACAGGAGCCGAAGAAGTCAGTTCCTGCTCTTGTTCCTGACTTACCTGTGGGACCCAGGGCTCTTGGAAACCTCATACATGTGTGTCTGCTTTCAGATGTGCAGCCCCCAGAGGGCCGGAGCCGTGATGGCCTGCTGACTGTGAACCTGAGGGAGGGCTCCAAACTGCACCTGTGCGCAGAGACCCGGGACGATGCCGTGTGAGTGGCTGCAAGGACAGGATGGATAGGCTCTTGGGGAACACAGCCAGCTACCCCTCCTCATTGGGTCTTCCAGGCCCCTGGTGATAGGAATGGGGGTCAAGACCAGTCAGCGAGGCTGTGTCACAGAGGCTGGGTGGAGATTGACTCCAGGTGATCGGTGCAGGACACAGTGAGCTCTTCACGTGATCTGTGATGGGCTCAGAGTGAGGCGGCAGAGGGGTGCACGGTGTCTGCAAGTGTGTGGAGTCAGAAGAGGTTAGTGATGACCAGTGAACAGGGCTGGGCAGATTCCGGTACTCGGCAGTCTCTGAGGTGAGTCTTCACCTGGATGATAGGGAGGTGCAGCCAATTGCTTCCTCGGAGGACCCTCCCCCTGCTCCCTCTGAGCACATGCCCTGGTAGGGGGACTTGGATCTGAGGGGTAGACTTGAACCTGCCTATAGTGGCAGCTGTCTGTGCCCCATACCAGGGCAAATCCAAACTGGAGTCTGGGGCAGGTGCCATCTGCTCCCCCACATTCCTTCCCTTCCTACTCTCCGATTGAGGTCCTTGACCTTTGTGCTAGAGGACAGGGAAAGAGAGGGGTGTGTGGGAGTGGGGGAAGCTAAGCTCTAGGCAGACAGCACAGAGCCTCCTTGTGCACCCCAGCCAGTTGTCATGGCAACCAACAAAGGCCTGATTGTCCTTTATCCACTGGGCATTCCTGGGGCTCTGGGGTCAGGGCTTTGGGGAACTGTGCTGGTAGGATTGGGATGGGGAGATGGGCTGCTGCTAAAGAACCTGCCCAGGCATGTTAGAATGAGGAGGCCTCTAAGATACCCCCAAGCCCAACTATCCACTGTATAGATAGGGAAACTGGAGTTTCTAAAGTGGAAAAGACTATAGCCTAGAGTGAATTAGCCTAACCCAGGGTCCATCCGTGTGACAGGAGCAGGACAGCAGTTGCTTTTGTCTACCTGAGAGATTTGGAAGGATCTTCCCCTTCACAAGACAATGGGACTAAAGCCTGCCTTGAGAAGGAAAATCTAGAATGTGAGAGCCACCTTCCCTTCCCCCAAACTCCCTCCTCATGGTCTGGTGGGGTTTGTCTTGCAGAGCATGGAAGACAGCGCTGCTGGAGGCAAATGCCACCCCGGTGAGCCCCCCTCTTCCCTCTCCTGCCAGCTCCCATGTGCCGTGGAATCATGGATGACTCAGACTCAGTCTCCACCTGCCAGGAGCTCTTGATCTAGTAGGCATAGGCTTATCCAGACTCAAACGCCCTGAGTCCCATGTGGAAAGGGAGAGGACAGCCAGCTGGTACTCCAAGGAGGGATGGAGAGAAGCTTCCCTGAAGAATTTAAGGGAGTGGCATGAGGGCTAGGGAAAAGGAACTTTTATCAAGCAACTGCTATGTGCCAGGCATGGTATAGGTGTAATTCTAGAACCATCCCATGAGGTTGTTCCCTCTCTGCAGAAAATAAGGATGAAGTTCACTCATCCACACAACAAACATTTACCAAGTTCCTACTATGTGCCACTGTCTGCCAAGGTCCAGGGATCAGAAGTAAACCAAGAGGACATGGGCTCTTGCACCCTGGACTCAGCCCAGTGAGGAGCTAGATATGAAACAACTCATTAGTGATTCCATTTCAACAGTGGTAACCACTCTAACAGAGATGCACAGTATGCAATCCTTCTGGTGGCCTGATTGAGATGGAAGTTAAGATGAGGCTTAAGCTGAGACTTGAAGCACAAACAGAAATTGGGTAAAGGTGGTAGGGATGTGGTGAAGGGAACAGCTTTGTAGGCAAAGGAATCAGCATGTGCAAAGGTCCTGAGATGGGTAGAGGTGTTGGTAGGTTGAGAAGCAGAAGGAATACAAGGTGGCTGGGGTGGCTGGAGCTCAGGGAGTCAGGGGCAATGAGGAAGAAATGTTGTCAGGACAAGGACTTGGGCTCATGTTAAAGACGTTAGTTTCTTCTAAGAGCACCAGGAAGGCTTTAAAAGTTTAGGCAAAGAGACACCATGATCAGATCAGATCAAGTTTGTATTTTTAAAAAGACAGACCGGTAGGGCCGGGGATTTAGCTCAGTGGTTCTGGCACATGCCTTGTAAGCACAAGGACCCAAGTTCTATCCCTGGTGCCAAAATAAATAAATAAATATAATTCAATAAATAAAAAGACTGGTAGGAAAGGGACTGCAAAGAGCAAGAGTGGACACCCTGGGACTAGTTAAGAGGCTAGGACAGTGTCTCTGGAACAGGCTGGAGCTCTGGGCTGAGGCCTTGCTAAAGATAGGCTGAGGGTTGATGGAGGTGTGGGTTTGAAGAGCAGTCAGGGAGGCCTAGCATGGCCTTCACCCTGCCCGCCAGATTGCAGAACCTATGCCTGCTCCTTTCCTCTCATCTAGAGGGCAAGTCCCCTGGGAAGCAGCAGAGGAGCCTGGGATGCACTTAAAAACCCCCTTGGGCATCCACCTGCTGAGGGCCAGGCATTGTGTGAGCACCTAGTTACATGTCTCACCCTCCAGCAACTGGCGGGGGGAGAGCTGGGGATTGGTATTATTAGGCCTATTTTACAGATAGGGAAGCTGAGAGGCTCAGAGAAGGGGGTTTGCCAGGAGGAAAGCTTGAATTAGAGCCTAGGTCCGTGAGGTTTTGAGAGGAAGCTGTCATCTGCAAAAGGAGCTGGGTGAGCAGAGGCAGGGAAATGTGCGTGCATGTGCAGTTGCACGCGTGGATCTAAGGGCCCTGCTGGAGGGTTCAGCATGGAGGGAATAATACAGGAGAAGTGACCTCTGAGGTCACTGGGGCCAGGGCCTAAAGTCTACTTGGAGAAACTGAGCTTCTCCTGAAGGTTGTGAGAGCCTGCTGGGAAGCTGATTCAGGCTTCCAGGCAGAGAGCGGGCTGGAGGAATCTGGGAGTGAGGAGGCTGGAACGGCAATCATGAGGGGAAGAAACCCAAGTTGGGCTCACCAAGTTTGAACTCCAAAGCACCGGAGAGTGGGGCTGATGGCTTCCATGAAGAGAGGCAGAAAGAAGGAGGTGGTGAGAGCTGACCGTTCTGTATCTGTGACTCTGTGAAGCTGTCTTGTCCCTTTTCTGCCTGTCCACCCTTCTGATGCTCTGCTGAGCACTTCTCTCTACTCTACCTTCCTCTGCTACACACACACACACACGCACACACACGCACACACCCCTACCCCTCTGGGAGGCCCGGGCTTAATAGAGCAGATGTGTTTGTGCCTCTGTCTTTGTACCTGTGTCTGCCTGTGTCTCTGTGTTCACATCTGTATTTGTGAGCTTCTGTCCCTGTGCCATGTAGAAGTGACCTGTGCTTTGTCCCTGCACAAGCTATAGGTTCATGCTCTATTCTGGTAGAAGCTCTAGGAGGACTCCCTGACCCTAGCTGTACCAGGGAACGTGGAGCTCAGGCACACAGTCAGGGGCGAGGCTGGGGTGTTGGTGATAGAAGGGGCCAGGAGGATGGGAGGACAGATCAGGCCTACCCTGTTCTCTCCCTGGAGACTGGGAGACCAGCTGTGTGAAACAGGCCAGAGTGGGTTGGAAACAGGCTGCTGGCCCTTCCTCGCTGTGTGCTTTGGCAGTCACCACCCTTCTTTGAGCCTCCCCGCCTTACCATGGGCTGAAGAAGAAGGGACCCTCCCCAACCCCGCCCCAGCCCAGCAAGCAGAAGACACTGGTAAGAACTCTGAGTCTCTCCAGGTGTAGAGGGCCTCTGACACCTCCCTCCCTTCCCCTTCTTGGGTTTCTGTGGCTTGAGCAGGCCCCAGCTGGAGCCACCGTCCCAACCAGAAGCCGCCGGGTTTGCCCCAAGGTCAGGTGTGTGACCCGTTCGTGGAGCCCTTGTAAAGTTGAGAGGCGGATCTGGGTAAGTGCCGGCTCATCCCTCCCTGCCTCCATTCTGGCCACCAGGATGAGCATCGGAAACATCCCAGTCACATCCCTCCTCTGCTCACAAACTTCCCATGGCCCCCTGTCACTCTCAGGACACCAGACACAGCCTGGCTTTCAAGGCCTGTGGAATCTGGATAGGCTCACCTGCCACCTCCCCTCATCTCTGTGCTCAAGCAGCTCTGCGGTACCCTCTGCCCAGCTGCTCTTGCTCCCCCTCTTCCAGCCACTGCAGGCGCTGTTCTCTGCTGTTTCCTTCACCTCCTCCTTGAAGGCCCATCTCACAGGCGAACACCTCCAGACAGACGACTTCCCTGACCTTTGGGCACTGTCACTCCCTCCCACAGTAGATGTCACTATTGCTTAGCATTGTCTCTGTTTGACCTGGTTTGTTCCTATCTGTCTAGCCTCCCTGAGACCAGGAACTTTCTCCAAGGCAGAGACCAGGTCTAATTAGCTTAGCCATTATGGAGCCTGGCATGGGGGTGGATATACAGTAGGTGTAAAATCAGTACTCAGTGATGGGAACAGTCTGTTCTGACCTCTTCATTCTAGCACACAGGAATCTGGCACAAACTGGCTTCAGAAAATGTTCACTGAATTGTGGGTGGGGGCACAAGGAACGAAGAGAAAACCTCTGTAAGGAAGTACTATCACTAATTGTAATTTAATCTAGTTCTTTCTCTCCCCAACCTGAAATTTTCTCAAAAGCAGGACTTGGGCCTGAATCCTTTTTCTGTCCCCAGTGATGAACACAACGCCTGGTATGGGGAGAGTGGCAGGGGGGCTTATATACCTGTGGTCTTAGAGTCACCTGTGAACTTTTTCTTGCTCAGTGGCTCTGTATGTGTTAGAACTGCTTAGGGACTAAAATAGCAACCATTCATATCCTACCTCTTGATACTCAGATTTCATAGGTCTGGGGTGAGGCCTAGGATATCTGTAGCTTTAAAAATTGTTCTTGGTGAGCTGGGGATTTAGCTCAGTGGTTCTGCCGCCTAAGCACAAGGACCTAAGTTTGATCCCTGGTACCCCCCCCCAAAATATTCTTGGTGATTCTAACAAGGCTGGGGATTTAGCTCAGTGGTTCTGCCGCCTGCCTCGCAAGCACAAGGACCTAAGTTTGATCCCTGGTACCCCCCCCCAAAATATTCTTGGTGATTCTAACATTCAGAACCACTGAACATAGAAGCACATGGCCCACCTAGTTACAGAGATGTGGTTCTGTTGGATTCTCACTTTACCTTGGGAGAGAGCAGTGTGTGGGGGAGGACTTTGCATGTGAGGAAGCTGAAGCTTTAAGATGTTACCTAACTTAGTAAGTGTTGCTCATTTCATCAAAGGCAGGCCTAGGACTTCAAAGCTGAAGCTAAGATGTTACCTAACTTAGTAAGTGTTGCTCATTTCATCAAAGGCAGGCCTAGGACTTCCAGCCATCATTCTGAGGTATCCCCCAGACCTCAACGTGGAATACAAGTTCATTTAAAGTGTTGATGTCAAAATATAGAACTTAAAAGACTGTAAATCTAAGCACACAGTAGTTTATCTGATGAGGGTTATTTACATATGTGCCTCATTAGTCAGCACTGTCCCGACACACAGAAGGGGCAAGAACTTTAAAGAGGGAAAGGATCAGAGATTACACCTCAGGTTCTGTCCATGAGGTCTCTGGGGTGACCCTCCTAGTTGCCAGGTGATCTATATGAGTTTACTTTTGGGCCTTCCAGACCTGGAGGGTGGAAACAGGTGTCTCGGGGGGAATGAGGTGGTGTTTTCCACACTGTGCAGGGCCTCATAAGGCCACTGGCTCACTGCAGCTAGAGGGCAGGGAGAGACTTTGGACTTGAATTTGAAAACATGGCTGGATCCGAGTACTTAAATTCCTCCATCCCCCTTTGTGTTTGGAGCCCAGAATCTGACCACACCGACCAGCCTTACTAGATCACCACTGGGGAGGCACCATGCAAGTAGGGTTACTTGAGATTGGGGACCAGCGCCATTACTTGTCTTGGTTTCCTGTATTCCCAGGGACTGTTTTTCTTACTAACTTGAATTGCATTCAACTCAAAGTTGGGCAGCTTCAGTTCCAGTTTAGGCCTGCAGTTGAGTCCTGCAGCCAATTTCAGTAAACATTTACTAAGCACCTGCCATATTCCACTAGGGTCTGATTGGACTTGAAGGAGTCTCCGTGTCTGCTGGGATAAACTAACAAACACTCAGGGGCAAACAAACAACACGTTATTGTTGATCAGTGCTGTGACAGAGGGCAGTCCAAGTACTGTAGGAGTCCAAAAAGGATGCCCACAGATCCTGAGGTTTAACTCAATACCTGAGTTGATTCTGAAAGACAAATTAGAAAATAATAAGGGAAGATCAGAAGGAGTTTCTACAAAAGGAAATGGCTTGGAGATGTAGTCGTGTGGTATGCTTAGGAGCTAAGATTTGGACCATTGGTAGAAATCTAGTTGGGGAGCAAGGCGAGCAGAGAGTAAATTCCAGGGAAAGCACCGGCCAATTTCTGAGCCTCAGTCCCAGCTGTGTGGCGTTGCGGAGAGAATAATGCCTGGAGGTAACACTGATGGACACCTCCCTCCAGACCTGGTACACAGTAGATGCTTGATAATAGTTTCTGGAGTTACTTCCTATTCCCCATCCTTCCTTTTCCCTTTCTGTCCTCCTCAACCCCTGTTTATTTCCTTCCTGGGGCTTGACCATATTCCTCTCCCTTGGTCCAGGAGAGTAATCAATTGGGTATCTCCGAGTCAGACCATTATACAGCTGCTAGCAAATATTTGACTACCTATGAAGGAGAAGTGGGAGCCATGGAAGTTTTCAAGGTAGAGCAGGGCATGACTTGACAGCTGGATGAAAGAAAAGAAATTTTAGAAAGCAAGGCCCTTGGACCTTGTAGGGAGGCACATCCTTTCTCTAGAGCAAACTCGTGCCCGGGGACTCATTTCTAAACTCCCAAGGGGAGGATGTGTGGGGCTGGGGGTGGGGGGTCGTAGGGGACTAAACCCAGACCAGGGAGTTCCTGGCAGCTGACCCGGTTGGATCCCCCAGGTGCGAGTCTACAGCCCATACCAAGACTACTACGAGGTGGTGCCCCCCAACGCACATGAGGCCACATACGTCCGCAGCTACTACGGGCCGCCCTACGCAGGTAAAGCCTCAGCCTGCCCAGTTAGAGGCCTGTCTAGATCCAGCACCAGGCCCAGCCCATGGCCCATCAATCAGGACCAGGCCTTGAACCCTTTGGGTGTTCTCCAGGTTTTCTAGAGCAGGGCCCTCCCCAAGGCCCTCCCCGTCCTGTGATTCGAATAGCCCTTCCTACTGCGGATCTGGCCCACCTCTTCAGGCTGGCCCCATCACGCCCGCGGCTTCGCCATACTGTTTCTGGGCCGATAGCGACCCCTGGTGGTCAATACAGGGTTGGCAGTTCCTTCCCGCTCCAAAGTCTGAGCTGTGAAAGCCGGTCCCTCAGGTGCAGCGCGGTGGTGCTCAGAAATCCTGGAGATGCCTCGCCACACTGCCCTTGGCCCACGGTCCCAGTACGTTTGTGGCAGATACAGGACCTAGAAGCAGTGGGAGTGGAGCCCTTACAGCATCATGGGCTCAGTTTCTCCGACTGGGCAGCAGGAGAATGACTCAGCACCTTAACATTGGGTTGGGCTGCAGTCTTGCTGAAAGGGGACGAGGATGAGACGATCCCTTCGGCTGAAGTCCCTGACCCTCCCGGGCTCTCTGGGCTCTTCCCGCAGGTCCCGGCGTGACGCATGTGATAGTGCGGGAGGACCCCTGCTACAGCTCCGGTGCCCCGCTGGCCATGGGCATGCTGGCGGGGGCCGCCACAGGCGCGGCGCTGGGTTCACTCATGTGGTCGCCCTGCTGGTTCTGAACCTTAGGACTCTGAGCTCTGGACCCTGCACGTAGGCCACTAGCCCCCTTTTCCTCTTGGACCCCACCATCAAGCCCTAGCCCACTTGAGGGCCTGAACCATTTCTCCTTTTCTTTCCTACTCCCCTCTCCCAACTTCCGAAGAAGCTCCCATCTCAGGCAGGAACATGGCTAGAAATCCTCCCATCTACTGCCAGACTACCCAGAAATCCCTTATGGACACATATGACTATATTTCCTCCAAACACACCAGGAGACAGCAAACAACTATATTTGGCTTCAAATTCCCCAGGCGCTGGAGTGACAACATGAATAGGGCTCCCTGTTCTCTCCTGGGGGAGCACCAGGCCTGGTGGGGAGAACAGGAGTAAACAAACACTAGACAAAGCTGCACAGTTATCTGTCCTTTGACAAGGACGCCTAGGGGAAGGCAGCAAGACAGGTAGGCTGGGAGTACTGTTACTGACATGTCCAAAGAATTAAGGGGGAGCTCATGTGGGCATGGGTGGGGGCAAATCATGGTGAGCTGCAGGCTGAAGAGACTGCCTGGTAAAGGGGAGGTGAGCTTTCCACAGAGGGAAGTTTTGTGAGCACACATACAACGAGGATTTTGCCAGTTTTGTTAGCACTGAGACATACCCTTACCCAAAACACTCGAGTTTAGTTCCATCCTTTCCACTAGCAGTATCCTGGGCCCGTTCCCCATGACAGCAACTGACCTTAACCTGGGGGCTTCTGGTTGGGGAACAGGTGAGCTCTATTTGGACCCCCCAGCCTTAGGAAGTTGCCTCCATCAGGAAATGCCTTTCTGATCCCAGGAGTTGTCTATTGCTATGATTTTCACCATCTGGGGCTTTGTCTCTTCCTTAATTGGGGGGGAGATGGCAGTGTTCCCCTCTGGGACCTGACCCAATTTTGTACCAGTGTGGGAAGCCCCCACCCCCCCACCCCTGACACACGCCTGCCTGCAGGTGTCCCTTCCAGTCTCTTCCCCAATCCTGCCCCAATCACCAGTAGAAATGCTAACTTACTTGCCCAGTGCCTGGTGTAGTCCACTAAAATTCCCCTACTGGTGGGGGCTCTCTTGGCTCAGCTGCAGAGATTAATAAAGATGTGGTTGACTCTAGAACTGGCTCTGCTTATTTTGTTCCCCCAGAGCACCCTGTTTTCCTGGGGCATCTCTGTGACCCAGCATCTACTACTGTCTGCTCTGATATGAGATATGGATTCTGAGGCCAGGTTGGACTGGAGACAGATTTTATTCTGAGCAGTTTGAGGCAAGTCACTTAACTTTTCTGGACCTTGCTTTCCTACCCATTAGGTGGCAGGTTGAAGTTGACCAACCCTGAAGGCTTGCAAAGAGAGGCTGTGTCAGAGTCTGTTGTCTGAGCTGATGGATGATGCAGGGATCCTGCCTGCTTCCTGAGAGGCCTGTGGCACTGGGACCTTTCCCAGTGGGTCTCTGTCCCGGAGTTGAGTCAATGACTTGTTCTTATAGAGAGACCAGGAGAGGGAAACAGCTTGCCTTAAGCCTTTTGAGGCTATAAGTGACATTAACTCCCTGCTCAGTGATTAAGTCAAAGAAAACACTGGGATGCACAACTGCATCCAACTGAATTGGGAAAGTTTTCAGGATCAGGAGGTGGAAATTCAGTCTCAGCCTTGAAGGGTAAGTAGGGCTTCAGCCATATGAGAACAGAGGGAGGGCTTTATATGGAGAAGGAGCTGATGGAAGAATCAGCAGAAGCAAAGGCCTCACAGGCTGTGAGCTCCATGAAGTTCCAGTCAGTCTCACGTCATGGCAGGCAGCGTGGTGAGGAGTGGTGGTGGGACGGGGTTACAGGGAACCCCATAGCCAGGCTCATGAGCAGTGGCAGCCTGAGAAGCAGCCATGACATAGGCAAAAGCACAGGCGTAAGAGCCCCTTCAAAGGCTCAAAGTCTGGGAGCATCTGCTGTCAAAGGTCACACAGCATGTGTGTCCAAAGGCCTGCACTATGTTCGGGGACCCAGCAGATCAAACACAGTCCATGCTTTGGAACCTCAGTATGCTTGTGAGGGACATCTCTGAGGCTCCAGGAATGGGCCTACTCTGAGGCTCACTCTGTAGGGCACAGCTTAGGGCTTTTTCAGGGTTCATTTAATATGTAACAAGAGCCGGAGCCATCCAGATTCCTTCCTGTGAACATGGACCAAACAAGTGTCAGGGATCTGCCAGGAAAGTTGTTTGAGTTTGCTGGGCAGAGCGGCAGCATTCACACGCACTGCTCAGAGCTCTCCCTGCTTTATCTCCGAAGTCCTCACAATAATCACATGGCCAGGTATTACTGCCCCTACTTCACCTACGAAGAAACAGATGTAGAAAGAAAGTAAGCAAAACCCAAAGGCATGCATTTAAAGACAGATGAAACAACACTAAAATGTCACACGAAATTCAGACATGTTAATAATTGTGTATAAAAAACAGTGAGCTTAAGACCAGCCTAAATTACATAGCTAGGCCCTGTCTCAAAAAAAAAAAAAGTCTTCAGATGTGGGGCATTTGGCATTTGGAAGGTGACTGGGTCACGGGAACACTACATCATCATCGGTGGATTAGTTCACTGATGACTTCACAGCTGAATGAGCTGTTAAGAAGAGAGGCTGGAGTGCAGGAGCGGGGTCATGAGGGGGATGACCCGGAAAGGTGTATTTTTGTCCCAGGTTCCTTCAGTTCTCTCTCTGGCTGTCTTCTCTTTCTGCTTTGTGGCTGCCGCGAGTTGTGCAGCTTTTCTCTGACAGGCCTTTCCACCATGCTGTGTCTGCTTTAGAGCCAGCCAACCTTGGACTGAACTCCCTGAAAACATGCACCAAAATAAACTTTTTTTTTCCTTCAAGTTGTGTAATCCAATACCTTGTCCCAGCAATGACAGAATCTATACATTAACAATTTTTTAAAAAGCAGAAAAGGAAATTACAAAAAGTTCCATTTACAATACCATCAAAAAGCTCTGATGAACTATAACTATAAAACTCTTACAACAAAACACATGAGAAAGAAAATCTTCAAGACAATGAATTTAGCAATGGTTTCTTGGTTATGACATCAAGAGCTCAGGCAACAATGACAACAACTGAAAAGATGAAATGAACTTAGTCAAAATTGTACCAAAGGCCACTACCAAGAAAGTAAAAAGAACAACCCAGAAAGCAGCAGAAAATATTTAAAAAATTCATTTATTTGTTAATGAATTAACATCTATACTACCTAAAGAAATCTAGCAACTCAGAAGCAAAAATAAAACCAAAACCAAAATCAAATAATCCAGTTATAAATTGGAAAGGACTTGAATAGACATTTCACAAATGGCCAATAAGTACATGAAGAGATGTTCAACATCATTATTCATTAGGGGAATGCAAACCAAAACCATGGAAGATACGACGAGATACCAATTCGCACTTATTAGGATGGCTATTGTAGAAAAGGGGGGGTGCAGTTGGGATGTAGCTGATTGGGAGTGTACTTGACTAGCTACCTAGCAAGCAAACAAATAAATAGGGTTGCTATAAAAAACAAAAACAAAAAAAAACCACTTATACACTGCTAGTGGAAATGTAAAGATGCAGCTACTGTGGAAGAGTTTTCAAAACATTAAACAGAATTATATGATCTAGCCATTGTAATCTAAGGTGGGAAAATGCAAGTGTCCATCAACAAATGAATGGTTAAACAGAATACTGTAATACCTCAGTTCACAAATGCTTCTGTTCCAGAACAATTCTGTTTGCAAACAGAAGCATTCAGCAAAGTTTTGCCTCCATTCACAAACTCTTCAGGTGACCAACACGACAGTGGCCATCTTCTCCATGTGAACACAGATGGAGCCATCTTCCCCAGAACTGTGGACCAAATTAAGTCATGAACCAATGCACTGTTGTATGGTATATGATGGGATATTTAGCCATAAGAAGGAATGAAATTCTGAAACGTGATACAACATGTATGATCATTAAAAACATACTGAATTAAATAACGGCACAAAAGGATAATTATTATGGTTCTATTTATAGGCAAAATAAAGCATATTAAAGGTTACTGGTGCTGGGAAAGGAAGAAATAGAGATTTATTATTTAATAGTTCCCAGTGTTTCTATTTGGGATGATAAAACTTTCTAGAAAGTGATGGATATACAACATTGTACTTAAAAATAAGTACGTGTACATAACATCTATTTTTTTCTTGCCAGCCAGTCTCGTTTATTTTTAAGTCTTTATCAAGTTAATTATCATAAACACAGATTGAAAGCCAGACTAACAGACCAAAGAACATATAGAACATAACAAAAAACAATGATAGTAAATCAAAGTACACTTTTAGATACATTGGCCATGCTGGGTTACAATAACTTTTATAGACATATTATATATACAAACTTTAGAAGTTTTCCAAATATTTTCTCTTGACCTCTGGTTGGTTTTTTTGTTTTGTTTTGGTGTGTGTGTGTGTGTGTGTGTGTGTGTGTGTGGTAGGAATACTGAACTAGGTCCTTTGCACTGAACTACAGCTGTACCCCATCCCATTTGTTTTTTATTTATTTATTTTTTGGTATAGGGGATTGAACTTGGGACCTTGCGCTTTCAAGGCAGGCAGTCGAACCACTGAGCTAAATCCCCACCCACTTTGTTTTCTATTTGAGACAGTATCTTAAGTTTCCTAAGTTTACTTCAAATTTGCAATCCTCCTGATTCAGCCTGATTCAGGCACCACTGTAACCAGACCATTTTTTAAAATCTTTCCACATTTTTTAAATAGATGCACTCTATCAGGTTGAGGAGCTATTCCTATTTTTACTGAGCAGTTGTTTGGTCTTGCTTTAAGTGAGTACATGCTCAAATTTTTGAAATACTTTTTCTGCATCTATTTTAACTAAATAATAATAATAATAATTGTCGGTTTTATATGACAAGTTATATTGGGTTTTGTTGTCATTTTTGCTTTTGTTTTTATTTTACACAAAATGGTAGAGGCATGTTGTAACAGCATGGCAGTTTCTTATAAAGCTAAATATAGTTTTACCATTAGAATTCAGCAATCACACTCCTAGGTGTTACTCAGTTGAGGTGAAAACTTACATCCTTCTAAAAATCTTTATATGTGCTGGAAATGGTGGTGCATGCCTATAATCACAGCACTTTGGAAACTGAGGTAGGAGGACTTCTGAGAGTTCAAGGCCAGCTACACAGCTACACAGTGAGTTCA